GTGCCTTGCTCGGCGCGGCGGGGCTGCCTGCCAGCCCCTGAGCAGGGAAAAGCACGCACACGCCCAGCTTAGCTCCGGGCAGGCTGTCTAAAGTCCGTTCAAGCGACTTTTCCAGCGAAAAAAAACAGGGATCGCAGGCCCCTGGCCCGGAGACAAGCCTTACGGCCGTAACCGTATGTCCGGGAGCAGTCTAAAATCCGGTCTTGCCGAGAAAACAGCAGGGCCTATGGCCGTAAGCTCACAAAAGACGTTTTGCAAAGACTGATTCCGTCGGAAGCCCGGGGATATCAGACACGCTACGGCCGTAAGCCTTCAGAAAGCGTTCCACAAAGTCCGGTTCCGATGGAGATTTGGAGGTATCGAGCCTGTTACTGCCGAGTCGCAGGCTGCCTTTCCCTCTAAACACCGATAGCTCCGGCATCGAGCAGCCCTTACGGCCGTAGCTGCATTATGTCCGGGATGAAAAATCGACATCACCGGGGCTAAAGCCCCCATGGCCATATCGGTGAGCAGGGCAGGATACTAGCTCCGGTTCCGCCGAAATCCTGTCCCCTCTGCGCCCTCAACAGTATCACGAGCTGGTCTAAACCCCGGTACGGACGGATCTGCGCCAGCATCACGGCGATAGGCACAGCTAAAGTCCGGTATCGCTGGCGGTGTGCCACGCTCACGGCCGTGACGGAATCGCATGCGCTCGAGCCGTGGCACGCCCGGCCTCTCGAGCTCGCCTCCCGCGAACAGGGGAGCCACGGCCTGGCCGCCTTTTTGCCGGGCGATAGCATCTCACCAACCAAGGCCAGGGTCCACCCACGAGGCGGGCGAGTGACTGGCAAGCCGGCTGATCGATCCGAAGGGGCGAGCACTCGTGAACCGGATGGACGGACTGAGCCAGAGTGCTGGCCCAAGGCATGCTGTGCTGGCTGGCTTGTTTGTCCGCCTTGCTTCATTGCGCGCTTTTCGCGCACCAGGACGAGGCATCCGCGTGCCAGAGATTCAGGAGGTGGCCGCAGACACCTGCCTCGCCACGCGAAGGGAGATTGGGCAGGCCCTGGCCGTCTGGCCCTAGCCTTGCCAGAGACGACAGGCGGGTGGGCGTGTTTGCGTTGCCCGCCTGGCTTGCCATGGGCAGAACCCCCTATTGGGCGCGAATTCAGCCCGCAACCAACGCGCCCCGGCGGTCCAGGGGGCGCAGCAAACAGCGCAGCGAGCGTTGCAAGGGGGGGCCAGCCTACAAAGGCCAGCCCAGGCCAGGCCCAGACCCACGCCCACGAGCGCGAAAATTCAAAAATAGACGGGCCCGCCAGAGAGGGAGGGGTTTGAGTGCTCGACTGCTCGGGCGAGCGGAACGTGGGGTCCTCCAGGCTCGCTCAGGCTAGGCCGAGTGAGTGAGGTGAGCGTGAGAGAGGCGGCAAAGAGAGATGCCGACCCTGCTGGCTGATCATCGTCACCATCCCTGCCTGCGCCTCTCCATATCCCTCAATCAGAGGCGGGACCCCTTCCGCTCCCTCAATCTCGTCCAACCGCCTCTCTCCAGATCCTGACCCTGTCATCGCACCGCTCCGCTCCGCCGGCTTCCCTCCCAGCTCCGTCTCCTCACCGCTCACCGACCTCGTCGTTCGCGCCGGACGTCGCCGCCAGCCTCTGCGGCACTCCAACCACATCGTCCAACGCAGCCGACTTGCCTTCGCCATGTACAGGGCCGGTTGACCTCACTATCAGCCTCTGCGCTCACAAGCAGGCAACCTGCACCACTCGACCGAGATCGCATCTCGCCGCTCGACGACTGCCTCGAGCCTCACCTCGCACCGTGCACCTCGTTCTATCCACATCGACGTGGTCCGAGCCTACCATCGTCAGCCCACTCACGCACACGCTTGAGCGACTGCAATCAATCGCTCGCGGCTCTGGTCTCCAATTACATTCTCCTTGCTGATCCGGTCGATCACAACGGACCTGCCATTGGCGCAGCCGCCAAGCGACCTTGACCAGGAAGTTGCCATCCTACGCTCGCCCTCCGACGTTTACACTCTCCAGGGACTGGCTCCCACTCCGCTCTGTGCTGTGCTCTCCCCCAGCCACAGCTACCGATACTTCCTCTGCCGGCATGCGGCGCCCAGAGCTGCCGGAGAGGCTGCAGCCCATGCGGGCCCGCTACCGCGATGCGCTGAAGTGGTGCGGAGGCCATCTCAACTTCTTTGTGAGTGCGCACATCCGCTTGCCACCGTGCTTGCGCCTCGACGACCGCGATCTGACAGACATCTGTGAATGCTCCTACTCGGATCGCCGTGACAGCGTGTCCACGTCCTCGTCTTCACCTTCACCCCGCTGTTTGCGGCGTGCATCTTCTACGCCGCCAACACGGCGGTCCACATACCCTTCATCGATGCGCTCTTCGTCTGCACCTCGGCCATGACCGTGACCGGACTGGTGACGATCGACATCAGTACGGCGAACCCCGGGCAGCAGGCCATCATGTTCATCCTGATGTGCATCGGCAACCTATCGGCCGTCAGCGTCACCATGGTCTGGATCCGCCGCCACTTTTTCCGTGCCCGCTTCGACCACGTGATCCGCACCAGCGCCAAGGCGCGCAAGCGTGCGCACGACGTCGAGGTCCAGGAGCAGCGCGAGAAGAAGCTCAACCGCCTCAAGCTCCAGCGCATGATGGGCCTCAAGCCCACGGAGAGCGCCGAAAGCAGCGAGGAGAACGGCGGCCAGTCGGGCACCTCGGCGTCGAGCTCCAGCGACCACATTGACGTCCATGCGCCGCAGCCGTCGAAAAAGAAGCAGGGCAAGCCGGGCAAGCGGCAACCTTTGCGCGCCGACATGATCCGCCGGATCGATGGGCCCGCCTTCCTGATCAACTCGGCCGGCGTCGCATCGACAGCCGTCCCCGAGCCGCGGTCAAAGCGTCGGTCGGGCTCTGGCAGCAGGGCATCCGGCTCTCAGGATGAGGCCCAGGCCTTCTCGCTTCCACCCTCGGGCGGCATTCTGAACTCTGAGCCTGCCTCGGACGAGCACCCTTCGGACCGCGCGACAGCCCAGCAGCAACAGCCTAGCATCCGCATCTCGCTGCCGCCAACACAGCCCGCCGGCGTGTCCATGAGTGATACTCTCGGCGGCGATGTCGCCTTGGCCGAGTCCCCGCAGCAGGATCTTTCCGCTTTCCGTCAGGGAAGCGGCTCCACGCCCCGCCGAGGCTCGTTGCCGCGCTTCCACGAGACCGCGCAGGATGCCGATGGGCAGGATCAGGACGTCGCTGTCGCGGACGACGAGTTTAACAACGCACCGCGCTCAGCCGGTCCAGTGCGCACTCGGTTCGACGATGGCGCCGACGACGATGATGGCCCGCCCAGGACTCGGGCCCGAAGGGTGTCGGACCCTCCTCAGTCGCGCTTCCGGCGCGGGTCGGATACGGGCCTGCTCAACGTGCATGCGACCGAACGCCACGAGCCCTTCTTCCCGCGCGCCCAGACCGTCGAGTTCGCCGAGCCGCACGAGTTCCGATCGACGAGAGGCGATGGCGGCGTCGGCTACACGACAGGCTACGCGGGCCATGGCCTATCGAGCGTGCGCAGCCGGGGCGGCACCCGGGACCTGGATCGCACCACGACCATGCGCTCGGGCGTCTCGCAGGTGTCTGGCCGATCCCGCGCAGGACCGCCGCTGACGCGCACCATGACGTCTTCCAAGCAGCGCGGCTTCGGCGGCTTTCCAACGCCCATCGAGATTGCTGGCATGGCGTTCAAGAAGGCGCTCCCGAAGGTCCAGGATCGGCTCAACCGGACCATGACGATGCCGAGGACGTCGACCTTCACCTCGGTCCACTCGACTGGCGCCTCGGCGATGGCGCTCGACGGCAGCACCAAGCCGGCGCCCTACCTCTCGTTCGACGCCACCGTCTCGGGCAACTCGATGTTTCACGAGCTGACCGAGGCGCAGCGCGACGAGCTCGGCGGCGTCGAGTACCGCGCCATCGACCTGCTCGCCAAGCTGATCCCGGCCTACTGGCTGCTGCTCAACTTCTTCTTCATCACGCTGGTGGCCCCCTACGTCAGCAGCCGCGCCTTCCGTGACCGCTACGACTCAGCCTTTATTTCGCAAGGCGTTAACAAACCGAACTACACGTGGTTCTGGTTCTTCCAGGTTGTCTCGGCCTACACCAACACGGGCTTCTCGCTGATCGACACGAGCATGACGACGATGCAGGACGCCTACTTCCTCCTCATCCCCATGGGCTTCCTGATCCTTGCGGGTAACACGGCCTTCCCGATCGTGCTGCGCTTCTTCATCTGGTGCATCTCCAAGGTGGTGCCGAAGCGTTCGCGCGTGTCCGAGACGCTCCAGTTCCTCCTCGACCATCCACGCCGGTGCTTCGTGTACCTCTTCCCCTCGAGCCAGACATGGTTCCTGCTATTCGTGCTGGCCGCCTTCAACATCACCGACTGGATCGCCTTCCTCGTCCTCGACATTGGCAACCCGGTCATCCAGTCGATCCCACTTGGCACGCGGGTGTTTGACGGCCTCTTCCAGTCGATCGCGGTGCGCGCCGCCGGCTTCCAGGTCGTCAGTCTGCTCACGCTCGCGCCCGCGGTTCAGTTCCTCTACGTCGTCATGATGTACCTCTCGGCGTTCCCGCTGGCCCTCTCGGTCCGCAGCACCAACGTCTACGAGGAAAAGTCGCTGGGCGTCTATACGCAGGAGCCCGTCGGGCCGACGGCGCTGCCGGACCAGAACAACGCCAAGGTCTGGGGGTCGTTCCTCGCCTCGCACGCCCGCAAGCAGCTCGCGTTCGACATCTGGTGGCTCGGCTTCGCCCTCTGGCTCATCTGCATCGTCGAGCGCCGCAACATCGAGGACAGCTCGACCAACTACTGGTTCACGGTATTTTCGTGCATGTTTGAACTGACCTCGGCCTACGGCACCGTTGGCCTCAGCACGGGCACGCCCGACGACAGCTTCAGCCTTTCGGGTCGCTTCAGCACGCTCTCCAAACTCATCGTCATCGCCGTCATGATCCGAGGACGTCACCGTGGTCTACCCGTGGCCATCGACCGGGCCGTGCTGCTGCCCTCAGACGTCGAGATCGAGGACGAGGTCATGTCGCAGTACCCCATCGACGAGGAGTGGGAGCGCGAGAGCACCTTCGTTCGCGGCAACGGCGACGACGCAGACGGCACTGCCGCCGCCGCCGGCGTCGAGTCCGACAGCGTCGTCGGCAGCATGGGCGCCAATAGCAACGCGGGCCCGGGCAGCGGCGGCGTCGAGCCGCGTGCGAGCTTCTCAAACATCCGCCGAACCATGTCCGGCGTTTCGTTTGCCGACCAGACGCCTCGCGCTGGCGGTGCTGGAAGCAAGCGCGGCAGCTTCGGCAGCGACAGCCTGATGCTGCCGTCCAGCCCCAAGAGCCAAAACACGTACTACGAGGGTCGGAGCAGCAGCTTCGCGGGAGGCGGCGTTGGCGGTTCGATGGCTGCTCCGCCCGGCCTGTCGGCGATCCGCGAGGTGTCGGGCGCGGCGACGCCGACGTCGGAATCCCGTCCGCCGTCGGTCGATCTGGAGAGGAGCTTCGCGCTGCCGCCTAGCTACCAGGCAACGCAGCCCACGTCGAAGGCTTCACCGGACGGGGCCGTCGAGGAAGAGGCAGAGAACCGCGCCAGCAGCGCCGGTGGCAGCAGCAGCCACGAGAGCGGCGGAAGCGCCAAGGGCAAGGAGAGGCAGCGGGGCGGCGACGGCGGCGAGGAGCGACACGAGCTGCAGAGCCTGGGTGCCCGTGGCGGCAAGGACGAGGAGTGAAGCGACGACGGTCGATGCCGGGCCCACCTTGATGGCCGCCGCCGTGAGTCGACGATGCCAGCAACTGTAGCAACTCTGGTGAAGCGGCTCGCGATGACCTGGGGCCTTCTACGAGGCGACGAACGCGATGTGCATAGAACGACTGAAACGTATACCCGCCATCCATTCTCGTCGGGCTTGTCGACCTTTGCTGATTTGTGCCGGGAGAGGCAAGACAGTGACTTGGTGTGCAAGAGGGGGCGAGAAGAGCGAGCTAAAAGTACAGATTGGCGCCGCGAGGGCAATGCAAGGACGATAGAGGGCCAGGGGCTGGTTCCGAGGCAATCTTCGAAGGTCAGCGGCAGTGAATGCCATGGTCTGAGAGCGAGAGGGAGGGTGGGGAGAGGATAGAGGTGTCCAGGAGAGACTTGGCGACCGATCGACGTGAGGCGCAAAGAGGTGCTTTTGAGGCCGGGGCCGAATTGCTCTTGTCCTTGTCGTGCAGCGTCACAGCGTCACGCAGGACGCTGACCGAACAGGCCCCGATAGCAGGGGGACGAAGCAAGTTCGCTGCCGAGTCCTTGTAGCCGCAAGGACAGACATGCTGTCGATGCCGTCAAATCGAAGGCGGCGAGGCAGGGCCGGGGGATGTTCAGAGGCCAAGATCAGACGCGGGAGCGCAGGCCAGGTCGACGTCAAGCCTGCGCGCTCTCCCTCCTCTTCCTCTTTTCCTCTTTCCGCCTCTTCTTTTCCTCCTTTTCGGCCTTTCTCCTGCGCCTGGCCTCGGCCTCGTCGTCGTCGTCTTGCGCCGCATCCTCTGCGTCGTCGTCGCCGTCGGCCCCTTGCGTATCCGGCTTGATCAGCGCATCGACGTCTTCCTGCTTGGTTCCGCGCAGCTGCTCCTCTTCTTCCTGCTCTTCGTGCACCGCAGCGGTGGTAGGTGGTGGTGGGAGACGAGCATCGATGTTTTCAAACTGCTCAAAGATGGCCATGACGTTGGACGTGTTGGGGTCGAGGCCGGATGCGAGCCGCGAAAGCTGCGAGGAGAGCACGCTCGATCCCCCTCCTCCGGTGGCGGTGGCGGCTGTATCGGTATCGGACGGTGCGTCGGTCGCATTCGTGGAGCCGGTACGGTGAGCGTAGTCGACGAGGAAGTCGCGGATCGACTGCAGCACGTCAGCGTGCGGTGTCGCGATGGGCGCTGACGTGTGCTGGAGCCGCAGCGGGACGGAGAGAGCTTCGTCCATCGTGCCGCGTGTTTGTGATGCTGCGTGAGGGTCTACTGTTGCCTTTGTTCTTGTTGTCTGTAGAGGGATGGGAGGACGAGCGAGGGTATGGCCAGGATGGAGTCGGAGCGGTGTGAGAAGATTGAGGAGGAGGCACCGCCGGCGCCTTGCCCACCCGCCCTGAAATCTGAATTTTTCCCCCGCCACGAGCTCGGGAGACGGACAAGCGGAGGTCGTGGAGAGCCCGGACCCGTGCTCTCTGCCATGTCAGGCCAGGCCAGGGCAAGCCTATGCGTCTGTGCGAGGGAGGGTGCCTGCAGTTGCAGCAGCGCCAACGTATGGCAGGGCTAGGTCGTGTGTGTGTTCCCCCTCGATGGCGACCAAAGACAACACCTTCCTCTCTTCCCTATACCAGAACCGGCCCGCCCTTATCGCTCGCTTCTTCAGGTCGCAGCTCGCAGTACAAACGCATCCGCTCCTCGTCATCACGGGCCTCGAAACAAACAGCGCAGCATGGCATCTCCAGCCGACGCCGCCATGGACCCGACGCTGCTCATGGGCGGCTCAGAGAGCGGATCGATACCCTCTGGCTTCACCCCGCTCGCCCTCGGACTCGTAGAGGCGTGGAACAACGACCCAAGGGCGCTGTGGAGCAGCTTTGCCATGATCATCGTGGGTGTCGCCCTTGCCCCGTGCTGTTGGTCCAAACCCGAACGATGTTGCCGAAGCTGAACCCTCACCTCTGCGCGGCCGACACAAACGGACAGGTCTCGGAGATCGGCGACAAGACGTTCCTGATCGCCGCCATCCTGTCGATGCGGCATCCCAAAAACGTCGTCTTCGCCGGCGCCTTTGCCTCGCTGGCCGTCATGTCGGTCCTCTCGTCGGCGCTCGGCGTCATGTTCCCCTCGCTCCTGCCCAAGTCGTGGACCACGCTGCTCGCCGCGCTCCTCTTCTTCGCGTTCGGCATCAAGATGGTCAAGGAAGGGCTCGAGATGAGCGGCGACGAGATGGAGGAGGAGTGGAACGAGGCGCAGCGCGAGATCGAGGACGAGGAAGGTGGCGAGGCCTACCAGATGGAGCAGGGCGGCGTCGATGCGTCCAGCTACCCCGTCGTCAACCCGTATCCGGCGACGAATGGAGCCGCTTCCGCTTCCGCAGCCCCACCGCAGAGGCCCAGGACGAGCGACCAAGAGGAGAAGCACCGGAAGCCGAGCGCGTGGAGCGCAAAGGAGGGCGCAAAGAACCTGTGCGGCCTCTGCTTCAGCCCGATCTTTGCCCAGGCCTTCATCCTCACCTTCCTCGGCGAGTGGGGGGATCGCAGCCAGATTGCCACCATCGCCCTGGCAGCTGCCCACGTGAGTCGGCCGCCACTCTCCTCTTGACCGCACCGCTCCCGCCGATCATTCGCTGATGACCCTGGCCTCTCCCCGCTTTTGCCGCCTCGCCCCTCCCTTGCCATGCCCTCCGAATCAGAACGTCACGCTCGTGTGCCTGGGCACGGTGCTGGGCCATGCCTGCTGCACCTCGCTCGCCGTCATCTGCGGAAGCTGGCTCGCAAGTCGCATCAGCGTACGCCACGGTACGTCTCCTCACCCTGCTTGATCGATCCCCCCTCCGTCCCCCGCCCCCTCCCCGCAGAACGCTCACCTCGAACCTCCTCTCCTCCCCTCCTCGCCGCCGTCATCGTGCCTGCCGGACTCGACAGTCACGTTGGGCGGCGCGCTCCTCTTCCTCCTCTTCGGCGTCATCTACCTCTACGAGAGCTTCACCCTCTTTGGCGACATCGCCGCCTCGACGGCGCCAGACGTGGCCCAGTCGGCCGTCAATGTCGCCCTGGCCGGTGCCGATGGGGCGAAGGGCATCGTGCAGAACGGCGGGGACAAGATGGCCAACGCCGTCGCGGCCGGTGCTGCCGCCCTGCCCGGCGGTGATGGCAAGCCGCCGATTGTAGCCGCAGGCGGTATCGGCGGGTTTGGCGTGTGAACGCGGAGTAGCGCCGCGGACACTGCAATGCGAGAGAGGCGTGTCGCCCCCTTGAGACCTTCCTTTGCCCTTTCAGAGGGCGGCGTGATACGATCTCGATCGACGGCCCGCGCGGGGCATGTGCGGTGGCGACGGCTGTCTTCCGAAGCTCGATAGTCAATGTTCTGCAGCAGTGCGGGAATCGGCGGATCGCGTGTACGTCGCCAGAAATACAGAGGAAGCAAGGCCAGAGGCGAGGCCTGGGCAGGCGGACGAAGGGGCAACCGGACGATGGAATTCCGATCCTCAAGGGTCGGTGCGCAGCTTCTGCTGCAGCTGGAAGCCCTCGTAGCTCGTCTCGTTGCCGTGGTAGACGGGCGTGAAAAGCTGGGTCTGAGCGTGGGCGCACGGGCGGGCGAGTCGAGGAAGGCGGGTCGGAGAAGAGGGACAGGGGTCAGCTTCCACGTCGGTCCAGCGGCCGTACCCTGGCGATGATGATGGCCGGCGGGCACTCACGGTGGCGTAGCCCTTGATGAGCTTGCGCCAGTAGCAGGCGGCGCTGGCGGGGCTGATGTAGCGCTCGCGGAAAAAGGTCCACTGGTTCTCTGCGATGCGCCTGGCCTTGTCGTCGTTGCGCAGCAGGTCGTCCATGGTCTCTGGCAGGCGCATCCAGGTCTTGTCGTAGCTGGCCTCGCCCTTTTCGTTGTGGGTGAGGATGCCCGGCTGGTCGCCGTCGTACTTGGGCACAAAGACGATGTTCTGGTCGGGCGAGTTGGGGTCCGGGTTGTAGAGGTGGGTCCAGTGCTGGATCCAGCGCGGCTCGTGGGTGACGATGACGACCTTGCAGTTCTGCAGGTAGCGCAGCCGCCCCGAATAGGTGACGCCCTCGGGGAAGCCGTGGAACTTCCACTTGCAGTGGTCCTCCATCGGAATGTTGCCGCCCTTGCCCCACGTCATGGCCTTGGCGTCGTTCCACTCGTGGCCCTCGGCGGCGCCGAGCATCGCCTCGCGGTCGGCGGTGCCGACGCCCATGCTGCCGCGCCAGAAGAGCTTCGAGATCTTCTTCTCCCACGGGTTGTCCCTCTCGACCTGGAGCGTCTTTTCGCGGTACTCGGCGTACGAGCCGACGTGCTCGGGCCACGCGTACCACCCGTAGTCGGGCATCAGCCACACGTCGTGCAGGTACGGCGCGCGGTCCAGGCTGAACTTGCCCTGCGATCCCCAGTCGTTGAGGCTGATGCAGAACTCGACGTCCGGCAGCTTCTCGCGCGACGTGATGACCGACTGGTACAGCAGGGCGAGGGCGGCCTGGAGGCGCGTGAAGGGCGACTTTTGAAAGTAGCGCAGGTACACCTTGTTGTTGTGCACCAGCACGCGGGCGTGCGACCAGATGCCGTCGTCGCACACCTTGTCGAGGTACTGCCGGCTGTTGGTGTCGACGTGGGTGAAGTGCTTGACGCTGCGGTCGATCTCGTCCCACAGGCCGGGGAAGAAGGCGTCGCACTCTTCCTCGGTCAGCGTGAGGTCCTCTGGGTTGAAGGGGCTGTTGTAGGTGAGGTTGGCGCGCCCGCTGCCCTGCGTCCACCTCTGCATCTCCTTGCCAATGACCTGGATCGGAGCTTCCGTCTCCGGGGCCTCGGCCGGCTTGGGCGGGCTAGGCTTCCAGCTCCAGCCTCCGGACCCGAGCCGGTCGGCGTACTGGCCCGCCTTTGCCCGCCACGAGTCGACGCCCGAGGTGGGGTCCGGGTCGGCATTGAGGCCGAGGAAGAGGAGCAGCGCAAAGATGGCAGCGATGATGAGCGCCCACCGTGTCCGCGCCCGGCCGAAGCCTGGCTTGGCAGAGGTCGAGCCATGCGACGAGGGACGGTGCGCCTCTGCCGTGTTGGATGGCAGTTCGCTGGCGGGCACCCGCTGATATCGAGAAAAGAGGCCGACCATGGCGGCAGGGCGACGAGCTACGCCAGGACAGATAGAGTCGCTGTGGCTATGCAGCGCAGAGTCGCTTCAGTGGTGCCTAGCAAGCAGTGTTGGGTTTTTAGGCGAGTTCTGAGCCGGTCGTCGTTGGCATCGGTTTCGGAGCCTGCCCGATGTCTGGTGTGACCCGGCAAGCTTCCGGTGCGGTTTTACGGCGGCCAGCACGCACACAGTCTTCCGGTCTCGATGAGCGGAGGGGTGTCGTCAGCTTTGGTCGAGAGATCGATGGACGCCACAGAAAATCCTCTTTGGTGGCGATGCGGGGTGGCGTGGAGGGGTCGTGAGAGGTAGGGTGCGTGGTGGTGATGGTGGGTCGACGGCGGTGAGATGGAAGGCGAGAGCGGGCGTGGCCGACAAAACTCTCTTGCATTCACGCCCAGGCCATGCCTGCCCTGGCCCACGGCCCCCGCCCTGGCTGATGCCTCTCTATCTGGCCCTGGCCCGAACCCAAAAAAGCAGGCAAGATGTGCCTCTCGCTTCGCCTCGGTCCTGCCTGCCCTGTCTGGCCCTGTCCTGCCTGCCTCTTTCCTGCCTGCCTCGCCTGGCGGCGTGGCCTGGCCGCCCACCGGGCTCTTCCGCCTGGGCAAGCCACCGTGGCGCCCCTGCTGCCGCTGCTGCTCCTCTGACGCTACCGTGCGTGCGGGCCTGTGGTCCGGCTGGCTGGGTGCAGCCAGAGAGATGCAGGCCTGGCTGTCGCTGCCCGAGGTCCGAGAAACGCGCACAAGGCCTTCTTGCCACGGCAGACGTGGCCACCGCGCTCACCACCGACGACCTTATCCCTCTCCTTCCAGCGCGATCACCCCGCGATTCCATCATGACACCATATTGCTTCGGTGACTAACCAGAGAGGGCGAGGTAATGGCCGGACGAGCGCTTCGAGGACATCAACGCCAACGAGACAGGTGCTAGACGTCGGCTTCCCGGCTGGGGTGACAGAGGTTGGACGGGACGCTGGTGTCGCAGACCAGGTGCGCGGCGTCGAGGCCGGCCATGCGGAGCGACAGCATCCTGGCCTCGTGGCTCATCGACGAGACCAGCTCGTTGGCCGTAGGACGTCGCTCTCGACTCCGCGTTGGCTCGCAGATCTGCTGGATCGTCGACCAGTGCAGCGCCGGGTCGTCCCGCATCGCCAGCTCATCTCGACTATCGATCCGCACCATCTGCAGCTCCTCGAGCTGGTCCCCTTCGTGCCGCTGTGCGCCAGAACGCGAACGGTGGACTCGCTCCAGCGCTCTCGTCACGACGGAACCGGCTCTCTTCGCGCATGCAAGCACACCTGGGCGATCTAGCGTAGGCGTGCGCCGGACGGCATCACCGTCGCGTTGCCCCGAAGAGCTGAAGTCTGGGTTGCTGAAGCTGACGTGCCGATGCAGCCTGGCTCGGCCTTCGACTGGAAGCGTCAGCGCCTGCTGCAGGCTCAGCGTCGAGGACGATGGCAACGTCGCGGCACACGACCGCTCCTCGACCGTCTCAGTGTCCTCGGTGCTTGTCGTCCACACGACTTCAAATCTCGTCTGGGATCTTGGGGTCGGGATCGATCCAGTGCGGACATCGTCTCGGACCTTGCTGAAGTCGGAGGCCAGCATGAGGTCGGACGGACGACTTGAAGACGACGGAATGCCGACACGAGCGGCACTGGGTCGCGGATGATTGCACCCGACCTCGAAGACGCGGGATAGGTTCATCAGCCTCTGACGGGCGATCTCCTCGGCCTCGATGGTTGGTGAAGAGAAGCGGCTGCTGGCACCTGCCTTTGTCCCGGGGGAAAAGGAGCTGAAGGCTGCGGCTTCGTCCGAGCCGCGCAGTGCCGCCACGCCGGCGCGTGGCTGATCTGACCATCCGCTTGCGCCTCCGCTTCGACGAACCCCTTGACGGTAGGAGGAATCGCCCTCCCAGCTCCAGCGGTGGCGACGTCGTCCGCTGTCTCCATCCAGCGAAGATGGGCAGCGGCGGGATGTGCCAGCGGAATCCGAAGGACGGAGGGCGAGAAAACTACAGTGTTCCTGTCGACGCTGCTCGAGTACCCACACACCGCGGATCTCGAGCAGCATCAAACGCTGGCAGATGACGCAGAGCAGGGGAGATAGAAGGGGCACCATCAACGCTGTCGCGAGCCAGAAAAGCCAGCAGAGAATCGCCGGACGACGCAAGCGGAGGAGGGACAGGCCACAGCGGGGATGTCAGCATGTCGGTCTCTCGCCAGACGAGCCCGAGTTCGTCCGGGGGCTAGAGCTCACTCACCCGGATACCTAGGGTCTCCGCGGGTGATGTCGATCAAGCTGACGGCCAGGCAAGCAAAGACGAGCGTACAGTAGAGCATGCCGTTGGTCGCCAGTCGAAAGACGAGCGCGGTGGACAGATGGGATTGCATCCTCACCCAGTGCATCGCCGCGCGTGACCAACGCATGACAGCTGTAGCTCCTTTGGCTCGGCGCCTTTCGGAAAGCGTTGGCGGAGGTGTCGTTGGGAAGCGGGATGAGGCAGCCCTCGCCTCGCTTGTGCCCATGCGATGGTTCTCCCAGAGCTTGGCGGTGATGAGGACGACGACGACCAGTTCGTAGACGATCATCCCCGACAGGAGCACCAGGCTAGCATCGATGCGGACCGCCACGGTGCTGACACAGCCGCCTTCGGGGCGGGTGCGGTAGTCTGCGGTTCCGACGACGCCGGCTGCGAGGATGAAGAGGCAGGTCGACATGGTGGCCATGACGCGGATGATGCGCCGGTCCCTGCGCCAGATGGCCACGGTGCGCCACGAGAAGATCGAGATGGCGGGGATCATGACCATGCCTATGGCGATGCAGAGGTAGGGCAGGCAGGGTTTGCGCGTCGAGGTGCTCCAGGTGGCGTAGGCCGACAGGATCATGGCCGCGAGCGAGACGCAGCGGTTCAGGGCGAAGAGGATGACTTGGGGCGACCGCCAACTGGGCGTCTTGTAGATGTGGATCTCATCGATGAGCGTGCTGCGGATGGGAGGGCGGAGAGGATGGTGTCGTAGATGTGAGCAGGTGGGGCCGTGCATGGGGCAGCTCGATGAACTGATCCCTGGCGGCAGCCTTGGTCGTTGACACTCACGACAGAAACTCCCAGCCGTACAGCGTCAGCCCAGCGACTGTGCTATTGTTGAGCACCGGGAGTCCAGGGAACTGGCCCAGCTCAGCAGGCGATGCGGTGGATCTCTCAGCACGACAGCGCGAGACATCGGTGCCGTTCTTGTCGATGTGCGACCCGGTCTCGGTCGGAGGTACTCACTTGTGACACTGGCATCGACATGGGTGCTGCCTGGCCGGTTGCGAGTGAGCTTGGGCCGTGGGGATGCAGGACGAATGGTAGAGCTCAACACGTTGGGATATGGCAGCGAGTTGGGATGTGGCCATGGGGGCACGGCTGCGAAGGGCATACGAGAGTGCGGCGAGCGGTCGTGGGCAAGAGTGTGGAACGAGTGGGAAGTAGTGCTCGACGGCCGAGTTGATGACACGGTGGAGAGGCCAATTCATTATCTGTCCAGACTCCCTCTGGCGAAGGCATGCAATGCCTTTGGACGGCGATGCCTCCATTGCCCTCTCCAGCCACTTCTAGCCATGGCTGGCTGAAGCTACACAGAGATAGAGTTTGGCGTAGCGAACTGAACGTCGAGATGGGCCGTTTGGAGACACGAGGCGCCTCGCTCGGCCATGGAGGGTGTTTCGCTACCGCCTCGTATCGAGCGATATCGACGTTCTGACCGGCCAGGAGGGGGGTTCGTCGCTTGATGGTTACCACTGTGGCGGTTAGTGTACGCCCCGAGACGCCTTGCAGCTGCAGTAACGTGGCTGGGAAGGGCGCTGCAAGTTCTTACTCTGGATGCGTCTGGCTGGCTGCGTGTCGTGCTTGTGCTTGGTGAAAAAGGCGAGGCTGAGGGCGATGCCGGGCTGACCTCTATGGACCCGTCTTCACGCATCGTCTGTTTTGCCGGGCTATGCCGGGGAGAGGGACCGCGAGCAGCGAGCGTCGGACGTGCAAGGCCTGGCCTGTCGGTTGGTGGCCGACGGCAGCTAGTCAGGCTGAGCCTGCGGTCTTTGCCGCGCGCCATGGTCGCGTGTCGCCGCTGGCTCGTCTGACCAGGCGTGGCAGGCCCCTGCCTCCACTTCACGACGGCCAGCGGATGGGCGCCGCTGCAGGGACGCCGGCCGCCGGCTTTTTTGGAAAAAGATGGCGTCGCTGGCCGGCCTGGCCTGGCAGGCCTGGCAGGAAGGCGCGCGCGTGTCGCGACCTTTTTTCCTCCCCACCAACTATTCGCCCGCCCCCTCTCTCATCCATCATCACCATCCTCATCGGCCTTATAAGCTCTCCCTGAGCAGCGCAGCACAGTGCAGCGCAGCATAGCGCAGCGCAAGCAATCAAAGAGGCTCGGGACATCAACCCACGGCGCGCCCACCGCCCTTCTCGAGGCAACGCGCAGCAAACATGCCAGCCCTCCGCTCGCGTCGCCTCGCCGCCTCGGCCGCCCGCGGTCGCGCCCACAACTCTTCCTCCTCCTACCGCAACACCCTCTCCGAAAACACCTCGCCTTTCCTCAAGCGCAACACCGCCGCTGCGGCACACAATGCAGCACAACCGCCCGTCAAGACTGGCTCTGGGCTCGCCTCGGCTGCAACGCCGACGCGTAGGCCCTTGGGAGAGCGCAATGTAGTCCCCCAGGTCCTCGCCCCATCCTCGCCGCTGGTCAAAAGACAGGCCCTTTCCTCATCCAACCCGACCTCCTCGAGCGTGGCAGCCGCTCCCCGGCGCACAACCAGGGCTCCCCCGGCTCGCGCTCTGACCGCCCAGTCGACCAAGACCCCGGCCAACGATCCAATCGCTTCCGCCCGGGCAGATGCCTCGCGCAGAACACGGTCTGCCGCAATAGCAGTACCACCACCGCCTGCAACAACATCCGCAAAAGCTCGAGCAGGGACGAAAAGGCAGGCTGAGACGCCAAAGCCGCGCCGATCATCGGGAGTCGCTAGCTCGCCAGCTTCGACGTCGCACATCACCGTTGAGATCCCCCCATCCACACCTGGCAAGGAGCTTCCCAGGAAAGTGCGTCGCCCATCGGCCTCGGTTGAGGATCCCGTCGCCGCGGCGGCACCGTCGCAGCCTGTCGCCACGATGCCCGACAGCGACGACCTCGAGTACGTCGACCCATCCGTCGTGCTTGTTCCCCTGCCGCGGCCCCGACAGCAGCAGCAGCAGCAGCAGCAGCAGCAGCAGCAGAGCGTGAGAGCAGCCGCCCAGACCGCCAAGCAGCAGACGCCGCTGTCTCCCCTCTCATCGCACACCTCGTCCGACAAGGAGAATCGACCGCCGCCTCTGCGAAGGTCGTCCGACCAGCCGGTAGAAGCAGAGCCGCCGCGCACCCGCCGTAGAGTCGGTCCGGCCCCGGTCATGATCCCATCAGGCTCGGCCCCGCTTCACTCGACACCGCCGGCTGCCAGGGTGATGCCACCTCGACCATCTCAGCAGCGCGAATCGGCGCTCGCTACCAGCCAGGCCCTCGCAGCGAGGACCTCGATACTCGACAAGGTCTTCCAGCGCTCGTCTGAAGATCTAGCCTCGCGCTCCGTATCGCTCTCTCCCGAGACGCAGCGGCGGCTGCAGCAGGCTTCGGACCAGGAGCGTCTGATAGCGCAGTCGCAACGGCAGGGCTATGCCAAGGCCGAGAGGTGGGCACAGCAGCAGCGACTCACCTCGATGAGCAGCTTTGAGGGTGCAGAGGACGAGGCCGAGATCGCCGAGCTCATCGCGTCTTCGCCGCCGCCTCTGCCGCGAGCCGCATCGACAAGCCTGATCGGGGGTCAAGAGAGCCGTCAAGGCACCACTCCGCCCGAGTCTGGCCCCTACGAAGACACAAAGAAACAGGGCGGCGACGATGACGATGATGACCCATTTGGCTTCTTCGCGTGTCAGGCGAAGCTCAAGGCGGACCGCGCCGCTCAGCGTCAGGCGCAACGACTCGAAAGAAGGAATCAGCCGCTAGAGCCTCTGTCCGCGGTCGAGAGCCTTCCAGTGAGCGGAGAAGACCATGCCGACGAAAGCGGTCCCATCGATGACGCCGAGCTCGCCCGCGCAGCCTTTCGCAGTACCAGCCCCCGATCGGCAAGCGAGGGGGAAGGCGCCGCGGGGCAAGCTTCGAAGACCTTCGATTCGACAAGCCGTCCGCAGGAAGAGGCCGCTGCTGCGTCGTCTGATCAGGGCGATGCAGCTGAACGCAGCAGCCGTGCGGGATCACCGCGTGCCGCACATCTGGAGAAGTGTGTCCTACCGGCTGCAGGCGAAGATTGGCTGGAGAGGGACATCCGTCGCACCACGCGCTCGCAGGCACGCAAGAGCGAGGCGGACAACGGCGTCGGCGGGACTGACGGCGCCGGTGCCGCAGCTGCAGGAACCTCTTCACCACCGTCGTCTGCGCTTTCGTCTTTGCCAACGTCTCCTCGTCGAAGCAAAGCCGCGCCGGCAGGATCCAAGACTCGCAGCTACCGTACAGGCTCGCAGCCATTCGTCATCATCCCGGGCGTGTCGCTCAAGAGGACCGAGGTCAAGGAGCGCGAGATGCTCGAGCGCATGGCGCGCAAGTCGTCGTCGTCGTCGTCGTCTGAATCGTCGAGGAGCGGCGGAGGCGAGGCGGCAGGGACTGCTGGCAGGACGCGGACGCAGGCGAGCAAGGGCAGCAAAAAGAAGACCAAGGGTCCGCTGAAGATGACGGATCTGGTGGCGCTGCTGCCAAGCCGCAGACTCAATGGGTTCACGAACGGTGTCGAGGCGTCGGGCAAGGAGACGGACTACGAGCGGCCGCCGAAGGGCAAGACTGTCGCTCGCAGGGGCAGGCCAAGGGGCAGCGCGGCGTCTGCAGGCGGATCGGGGGGAGCCCAGTCGAGCAAGGATAAGGACAAGGGCAAGGGGAAGAGCAAGAGCAGCGTCCAACAGGTTGGTGCGCGCCGACGCACGGCATCGACATCGACATCGACTCGCCGCGTTTCAGCAACACGACGCAGACGAGGCGGCGACGAAGATGGCAGCGAGCACGGGGACCGGGATTCGAATGGGGAGAGGGAGAGCTCGCTGTCCTCTGTCGCAGGTGGGGGGTCGAGTCCTGCCCCGAAAACGACGCAGACGCGGGCAAAGACAAAGACGCCGATACGACGTGGCGCGACGAAGCGAGGGGTGGGGGGTGAGACGTGGCGCGATGCCGTCGGCAGTTCGGATACGCGCAGCAGCGACGTGAGTCGTCCGACCTCTTCCCCTGATCCTCGGCACCTCTTTCTCCTCGTTTCTCGTTGTCATGGCTGACCCCACTCTCCCTCCTGCTGCTGCTGCTGTTGCTTCGACGGTGCGCAGTCGGAACGCACAAAACGACTGAAACGCTACAAGAAGCTCGACGACTACTCGATCGAGTCGGAACTCGTCCTCTGAATCTCGATCCAGTCCGTCATTCGCGTCATCGTGCCTGCCATATCCCACACTGGCACCATGGCTCTGCGCGCGACCTTCGCTGCCTACCTGACCCCCTGCGCCGCACTGCTCCGCACCCAAGAAAAGCAAGGACGGACGGACGGGCTACGATACGGAGGAGGACCTTGCCGAACCTTGACGGCGTAACCCCTAGCTGTTGCGGGATGGATGACGATGGATGAATCGAATCGGATTGATGAATGCAGGGGAGAGAGGAGGCACTTGAGATGCTACAGGGAGGTTGGGTTGTGCGGGACGCGACAAGAGGCTAGGCAAAAAGAGAACAGATCCAAGACGGCCGCCCTCGAACCGCGAACGGGCATGCGAGCGAGCAGAGAAGCGGAGGAGCAAACCCGGGACGCGGAGCAGGACAGCAGGAAGGACGAGAAAATATTGAGAGGCGCACGCCGAGCATCAGGCCGGTGCAGAGAGAGAGAGCAGGACGGCATGCTCTCCTGCCGGCCCTCCTGCTTGCCCTCACCCTCGCTGGGCGCGGCGGCTCTTTTCCCTCTCAATGTCGCGCAGCAGCGCGGCCAGCACGGCCGAGTAGACAAAGACGTACTGCCGACCCGTCTGAATCAGGCTCATGCGCTGCTCGCGCGCCGTGTCCACCGTCTTGCGGATGACGTCCTCGCCGCCCTCGAGCGCCTCGGCCGTCCGCCTGGCCGTTTCATCGTCGGCCGAGACGGGGGCGGCACCGTTGGGGAGGTACGTGGGGAAAGGGGTGGGCTCGTTGCTCCCGCTTCCCGACCTGTCCTTTGCCCGCGCTTCGGCCGATGCCGACGCCAGTTCGTGGCCCGGGATGGCGGTGCTGGTGACGCTGGGTGCCATGGCCTTCTCGAACGGGTTCATGGCCTCGCCGGCCTGGGACTCGGCCACCGACGACTCGCACGTCGAGGCCTGGCTGAACGACGACGCCGAACGCTCCAGCTCGATCCTCGGCTTGTCGTTGGCGCTCGTCGAGGAAAACGACGATCGGGCAGACGAGAGGCCGGTCGGGAACACGGGCGCCGAGGCTTCGGAAAAGGGCGAAGAGCCCGTCGCACCGCGATAGTCATTTGCCGACGAGGTCGTCGCCTGCTGCTGCGGCTGCGGCTGCGGCTGCGGCGGCTGACCGGCGACGCCCGAGGACGAAGATGCCGAGTTGACGCTCGACGACGAGGCGCCAAAGAGAAAGCGCGACGGTCCGCGATCGCGCCCGACTGTGTCGACGGAAGACGTCGAGACGTCCGCCGCCGATGAGTTGGCGCCGTCGAGGTTGAAGGGCGAAGCAGCAAACTTGGCCGCAAACGGATTCACCACGCCAGGCGAGGCGGCCGAGGCGATCTGCAACGAACCGAACGCCCTCGAGGGCGTGCCCGCTGCCGAGCTGCTCGACGACGACCACGATCCCACGTCGAGGCCGCCCTCATGAGTCGCACTGCCGCCGTCGCTCGATCGGGTCCGCAGAGTCGGTGGCGGTGACGATACATCGCGGTGGTACTCGTCCAGGTTGCCGTCGAGATCCATGCCCGTGGGCGAAAGCTCGCGCTTGAGACTCCGGCGTGGCGATCTTCTCCGCGATGGCGTGGCAAGTGGCATGTCGATGTCCGGCATCCGCGCTCCTTCCTCGCCCTGCTTGCCAACATCCTCAGCAGCCGTAAGATTCTGCCAAGTGCGTTCGCTTTCGGCATCGCTGAGACTCGCGCCCTGTCGCCTGCGATGCCGCCGCAGGACGTCGAGCGCCGAATCAATGACGATGAACGCGCCCGTGCGTCCCACGCCCGCCGAGCAGTGGACCACCATCGGCCCGGCGTGCGCCTGCTCGAGCGAGGCCGACTGACCGGAGCTGATGGCCGTCTGCCGCATCTCTCGGTCCGCCTCGTCCTGAAGAGCGTCGGCAGCGTCCATCAGGTCCAGCATCGAGTCGGGGCTGTCGGGGATGTGGTAGTCGGGCCACGCAATGTACTGCAGCTGCGTGATGCGGCGCGGCGGCGCAGATGGCTCGGCCAGGTTGCGGAGCCGAAACGTGCGCCGAATCGTAGTGGGAGTACCGGCCGAAGGCGACGTCGATGGCTTCGGTTCGCTCGACGAGGACATCGCCATATTCGAGAAGAGGCCGCCGCCGCTCGAAGCCGGCTGCAGCACGCCGCGAGACTCATCCTTGCCCATCGCCTTGCCGTGCTCGTCGAGCACGACCTCCTCGATCTTGTCGATGCGGATCGATTCGCCGTAGCCGGAGTCGTTCCAGTACGGGTGGCTCTGCAGCCGGCCGCTCTCGTGCTCGCGGGTGAGCATCACAATGACCCGGCTGTTCTGCTCCCAGATCGTCGTCCAGAAGGCCTCGAACGTCGAAGGCAGCGGGGCCTGCGTGGCAATATACTTGCGCCGACTGCCAAACCGCTTGGCAGGCGCAACAAAGGACGCGTTGAGGTAGTCGGAGCCCGGGTCGTCGCGCACCTGGGGCTTTGACAGCCTGACGCGGCTGTGCTCGTAGGTCCAGATGTTGTTGTAGCGGTTGTCGGCGCCGCGCTCCAGAGCAGCGGAGATGCTGAAGGGGAACCTGTGGTGCTGCTGGGACGACTGCGCCAGCTCGTCGACGGCCGAGGAGGGCGACAGCGGGCGAATCTGGGACGTGCCGTCATCGCTGCCACCGGCCGCCGCTGTCAGGGTCTTTTCCCGCAGGGCCCTTGGGTCCTGACCCGACTCCGCGGCGTGCTGCTGCATTGTCGCCATGAGGCGCTGCTGCTCGGCCTTTTCGACCTCAAAGAAGCCTTGCGCCAGCGTGGTGGCCCTCTCCTCGGACGGCCGTTGCACCAGCTCGCGCAGGAAACGCGGCAGCGCCTCAACCTGAGAGGGCGATAGCTTCGGCAGGTCCATGGGAATCTTCTCCGTGATGCCATGAGCCAGCTCGCGGTTCTGCCGGATGTTGTCGAAGAACGGGTTCGCGCAGGCGTTCTGAGGAGCCACGGGATGAGAGGAATCGGGGTCAGCATCAAGAAACAACGTGGGCCGAAAGGCAGGAGAGCCGTCGACATGGAAACTTACTCTCTGTGCTTCTCCAGGCGCGCGCTCGCCGGCTTGGGGACCAACAGCCTCAATGGGATTGCCTGACCGGCCGGGTCGCTCCGACTGCGACATCCCCGGCCAGCCCGCGACGGTGCTCTGCGCCTGGAAGGCCTCCATCGGCAGGCCCCTGGGCCTCACGAGCGATCCCTTGCGTGCCGAGTCCATAGATGACGGCCGGGAGGGCTGCGATGACGGAGGCTGAAGCTGCATGGGCGAAGAAATGGCCGAGCGGTCCTGGAAAACGGAAGTGGGTGCGTCTTCGCTATCTTCGCCGATGTCGTGCGCATTGCCGTGCGCGGCAGGCCCAGACTCTATGAGCGATTTGCCCAGCGCCGTCGAGACGAGGCGATTGAAACCCCCGCGCAGCCAGCAGAGCTCGCCCGCGAACCCGGCAATCTCGAACTTCTTGAGCATGCCGATCAGGCACGGGCCACCGCCGCCGGCCGTGGCGTTGCCCGCATCGCCGACGTTGGCCGTGTCTGTATCGAGCACGATGATCTTGTTGATGCCGGACTCGTCAGTGGTGTGGATGGTGGCCGCCTTTTTGGGCGCGTCCTGAGCCCCGCCCTTTTCTGAGCGCAGCGGCCCCTTTCGCCACCGCATGAACCGCCTCCGCTCCCGTGCGCCAGCGAGCATGTCCTGCTCGATGCGCTCCACGGTGATGCCGGGGCGCTTGAGCAACGTGCTCGGCGCGCAGATGTTGATGCTGGCATGGATCCTGGCCGTCTGGAAAGAGGTCGAGGGCCGAATATCGAGGACGAGTACGTCGTCGGCAATCGTGCCGCCCTTGGTCTCGGTGGCCCAGGAAGGGGGCGACAGGGCCTTTGCCAGCCCTTCGACGTCGAGCGCCTTGAAGCGGCTGAAATCTTCGCCACCGCCACTACCGGTTCTACTAGAGGCAGCCCTCGACGTGCCCGAGGCGGCCGACGAGGTGGCAGAAGCGCCGCCGGACTGAAACGGACCCGGAAGCTTGAGCGAGTTGACAGCGGGCAAAGTGGAGCTTGGCAGCCGCAGTCCCGTCCCCGGCGTTTGCCTCTGCGGGACGGAATCGGCGTTGGCAGCCGGCGTTGGCGGTATCGCGAATGCCGAAGTCGATGACGTTCGATTAAGCCCGTGGTCCGGCAGCGCTGTCTTCATGCCAGAGTCGCCAAACAAGCCCGCCCAAGGGTGTGGCTCCGAGCCGGCGGGCTCGAAGGGTGTCTTGGCGCCGCTGGACGGCAGCGCGAAGGGGCTGGCTATCCGCATCCCACCGGATCCGCTGGAGCCGCCGGCGTCCGGGATGTGCACGCTGGAAAAGTAGTCGGGCACGGCGCTGGACCCGGCGCCGGCAGTGGGTGGAGCCAAGGCCGCCCAGGGATTCGGACCTCCGGACGGGGTGAAGGCTTCCGGAGGCAGGCTCATGCCACCTGGGGCAGCGAGCCTCGCGGGCTTTGCGACGCCCTCACGCGGGTTACCAGGGCCGTGGCTATTGCTCGGCGAAGCGCGTGTTGTGGCGCCGATCTTTGCGTGGGGCGACTGTGATGCGGCTGGGACTGCCGTCGATGGCATGGTCGATGAGCCGCCCGCGTCGAGGAGGCCATTTGGGGTGGGCATGTTGAGCCCAGATGGCGGAAGCCTCATGCTCAGCTTTGCGGACGGGGAAGGGTGTCGGCCTGCGGCGGGCTGGTCGGTCAGCAGAAATGAAGTCTGAGATGGCGCTTCCACGGCCGAGGTGGCCTGCATAGCGTGCGCTAGGCGACAAGGACGGGGCGCGCCTCTATCGGGCTGGGTCGCTCTATAAGATCTGGTGGCGGCAGGGCGGCGATGGTGGAAGCTTTCGCACTGGTGCGTGCGGGCTGGTGGGCGATGGGTGAGCGAGCACGACCGGGTGCCGCCGGAAAGAGCCTAAGGGTGAGCGCAAGGGTGTATCGGTGGCGTGGAACTGCTCCGAGTGCTGTTCTGTGGCGAAGTCGTTTATGTGAGCGTCAGAATGTGTGATGATCCGTGTGAGTGGTTCCTTTGCCCCGGTTTCAGCAAGGTGAAGGGCGACTGCGAGCGCGCGGTGGATACAAGAATGGTTGTAGAGCGAGCAGCGGACGACGGGACGAAGGCGCGCGGTCGACCGAACAGGCCGAGCGGTGATGGTGTGGCGATGGCGGATGGTGGTGGTGGTGATGGTGGTGGTGGTGGCGAGACGAGATGAGCCGGCATAGGGGTGGCGGCGGCGAGCGGCGGCGTGCGGCGTCAGAGAGCCGGACAGGAACCAACGTACGTCGAGAAGAGAGGCAGGCGTGCGGCGGGCTGAGGCCGAGGGCGGAGGCAGAGACAGAGACAGCGGCAGAGGCAGCCTGAAGGCGCAGAGCCAACCCCGCGTGAGCGCAGGCAGGCCAGGCCGTCGCTGCTGTCGGGCGGCGAGGCGTGAGCTGCACGCCCATGTCACACCGGCCTCTTCTCGCATTTGGCCGCTGGGCCCGCACAGCTGGCAGGCCTGCCATCCTGCCTCTCTACCTGACCTCGGCGCCACCACGCAAACCACACGCACGCACGCACCTCGGGCTGCCCCCGGCCTCTGCGTCCGGCCATTATTGAGCCTCCGTCCCTCGCTTTGCCCATCCCGAGACTTGGCAGGTTCCATGAAGAGTCGGGACAGCCGCAAATAGCAAGCAAGGTGGCGCAGGCCGGACCAGGCCAGGCCAGGCCAGGACCGGCTGTGCCGACTGGCGGACGTCGTGCTGGCGGGGCAGTACGTACGTCAGGTCATACGAGGCGGAGGGGTGGGCACCGCCTCGCCGCGTGCTGACCGCTGCGCCCAACCTGTGCTCTGCTGAGCTGGGCCTGGCCTCGACGCACGCTCTGGTCAGCG